TTTTTTTTTTTGGAAGAAGATCCTTCACGGGTGAATTCAATGTCGTAGTGGAAACAAGAAAACGACGTGCCTGTCTACGTTCCTGCTGCTGGTACCTGCTAGCAGCAGCACATGTCCCACATTTTTTCCCACTCCCCGCAGGCTCGGCAAAATTCGGCGCGCAGGGCATATTCAGGGTCGGGCCTCAACAACCGGTAGGTACTGGTGGTTTAAAAAGGGTAACACCCTTGATATATCATCATTTGAACTGACCGGCCCTAGGTGATTCAAATTTTTCTTGCAGTATTTAACAGGTTGAATACTGTATTTTACAGTTTTACTCATCTGCCCCCCATCTGCTTCGAGTGGAGTTGGAACTCAGGTCTGTAAATGCTGGTAGCTCGCTGGGGTGAGCTGTGCCGCCCTGTAACCCATGTGGCAATGCGCGGGAGCGTCAGGCGACTGGCAGGTGGAAGTGGGCTGCTCAGGTCCTGTGGCAGCCGGTTGGGATACACCCACCAAAAGAATACTCAGGTTGAATTCTCAGGCAGAATCATCATAGCGGATATTCATGGCTTGATTACGATGCCTATCAGGGTTGAGACGCTCAATTTGACGATACTTTGCAAGAGGCTTAAACTCTCAAACATACCTGTCATAACAAAAGCTCGATAAGTCAACGATAACCAATAATCATGACACATAAATTGGCCCAGGTAATCCAGAAATCCATTCAACTGTTATGATCCTGGCCAATTTCGTAGTACACATTCATCAGATAGTATAATGCCGTCCAATTGCCAAAAGAAATGAATGAACTTGAGAGGGGAGAGAGGGTAAGAAGAAGAAGAAGAAGAAGAAGAAGAAGAAGAGGAAGAAGAAGAAGAAGAAGAAGAAGAAGCAGAAAGAAGGAAGAAGAAGATGATGTACACCAGCATAGACAAATGATAAAGCTCTTCTTCTTCGCCGGCACTTTCCTCCTCCTTTACTCCTCTCTTATTCACACAAGAAATAATAGTACAATGTTGAATGACTGAACCAGAATCAATGTCCGAATCCCTCTTCTACTGCAGGTATCACTTGAGGTCCACCATAGCCATGGCCGCCTCCCTCACTCTTCACTCTCATAGGCCGAGGCTTTGGCGGACTACTCGGGCCTTGCCCTGATGTCCAAAGGACAACACAAAGCAGCTATGGCTGCTCTAGCTCAGGCCGCCATGCCTGACTCTGCCTTGCTTGGTGTAGCTCTGGGCCCACGGGGACCTTCCTGCTGCAGTGCCCACCAAGGTGATGAAGATGGCTGCCACCATAGCCAGGTAAGTACCTCTGGCACTCCCCCTTCCTCCTGGTCGTCTTCCTCCTCCGTGTCCTTGCTCCTTCCCCAGCAGTGCTGCTCTTGCTAGCGCCTCTCCGACCAGCGCTCCAACCATTGTGCCACCAAACTTGCACACCGACAATGAGGCTGGGCTCTTTGCCCGG